TCTGAGGGTACAAGCCTAGGACAAGTTATCACTCTTCCAGCCGAAGATTACAAGTGTGAGTCTCACTAGGGTATGTCTCTAAATCCTTGTAGGTTGAAAGCACGGTTTGTCGTCTAGACAGTTCCACTATTGACTCGAAACGAATGCCCACATGCGTAAAGAAGAAAGGATAGGTAAAATGAAACTATAGTAACATTGAGCAGGCAGGGTTTTGGGCCAGCACTCAAAGTTGCAGTGACATGCCTAATGTCGTGAACACCTCCATATACTGGCAGCTGCGGTAAGACAGGGCCTGGTATAGGACTACTAACTAAGAAAGATGATAGGTAGGAAATGTGCTCAAATGAGCAAAGGGATGAAATCAAAAGTCACGGCAGTTTAAGCCGGGCAAAGGTATAATGGCTTTGTTTTGGCTGATGGTGTGAAGGGACTTCCAACACAACCAGGCGAAAGAAAGATAGATGCAAGAGTGTAACGCGAGAGTTGGAGTCTCCTATAGTTCAAACCTAATGTCACAACCCCTTAAATGAATTAATGCAGGGCAGAGACTAGGACTCAAACAACAGAATAATCACAAAGAAGAATAGGCAGCAGGTACGTCTTGGATTGCTCACTAGGAGATACAAGAGGTTTGAACTAAAGAACTACTAACTACGTTGAGCTACCTATATACATATATTGAAACTGAGATCGAAATTGAGTATGAACTTACTAACCAATCAGAATAATTAAAGGTATCATATGATTCTATATATAACTATGATGTCATAATATGTGTCGCAGTTGCAGTAAGACTCTGGAACATTCCAAGAGTGTCGCGAGGCATGACGTCAATATCTTCGGCATTGTCCGATAGATCATGTGACTCTGGTAATTCTACAATGGACGCAATAATAGGAACTTCTTCAACAGTAAATGTTTTCTTAGGTACAGGCACTGTGACTGGGTGCTTAAAGGACTTAGAATTTAGGAATGAATAATGGTTTGTATTTGGAACTCGTGACAATGGGTCTCGGTTCTGAAGGCCTTCAGAAACGGATGTCTCTTGACTTTCTGGCGGTCATAGTTGGAATTTTCAGCCTGGTGGTACATGTATTGCTCTGAATTATTTTCATGTCTGATGGTGTAGAGACTCATGCCTCTCATGGTGTGATATGGCACTTTTTACTAGGGAGTTCATTGCATGAACTTGCAGCACCACTCTGTGTGCTGTCTGCAGCTATCCCTATATGAGGCGCAGCTTTCCCATGCAATGCGTGCCATGCACGCACTCTTCCCATGCTTCACAATGTATATGCACGCACTTGAGCACCCTATAGCGCCAGCCATCTGAAAGCATCCATCCACTGTCCACCAAGCCCTCTAGTGCATATATTTCCATTTCTCTTATTAGCATATCATTCCATCTTTATTTTTATCTTGGACCCTTACTTACATATATCTTTACATACCTTACTCGGAAGCACTTCGGCTCCGCATGACAGCACTTAGGCACCATATAAGCGCCAGCAGTACATACTTTCCAACTACCAACTTTCCACCGCCTTACCTTACTTCACCTCTCACTTTACCTACTACTTACTACCTAGAAAGTCGCAGTAGAAATCAATTACTTTACATCTTGCACTCTCATATCTCTTATCTTGCATCATATCATCACTTAAGCTTAGTCTCTCTCATTTCCGCATACCTGCACGCACTTTCCCACGCTTTGCGCAGCACGCACGTGCATTCCTGTGCCTTCGTGCCTTGCTCACACCTGCGCTTTCTCATGCTTCGCTTCAGCGCACACTTCTAGATCCTTGCTGCACTTGCTTCCCCTTTAGGGTCAAATGCACTTGTTGTCTCAAGTATAGCAGACTAGGCAATGCGCGACCTTACAACACTTATAGATACAGTCTGGAGCCTCATTCGCACTTCACAGTATTGCTGTTTCTACAATGGCCAACCAAGTAGTGTATGTACATAATGATGTTGTCCGAGAAGCACACTAACAGTCCCTTTTTCAGACATTCCAGCTCAGCGTACAAGTCACAACTCGACTGATCAGACACCCATGACCGAAGTTGATTTATTTCTATAGCACTCACCCCCCATTCACGGCCTCCATTCAGTTGTATTTGTAGCACTCGCCTGATTCTTGCGACTCATCTCAGTTAATCTGTACCATACTTGTAGCTCCATCCAAGCTCCATCTCATGACTCGTCTGGGTTGATCTGTACGATACTTTTACCCATAAATCCAATTGATTCACAATATTATGACTTGAAAAAGTGACTGTAGTGGGCTCTGCCGCGTGTGGCCTTTCACATTATCTAATAATGTGGTAGCGTCATAATTGTTAAAGGGTTGGAAATGATGGTATTTTGAGTTTATTGTTTAGAGCCATGGAAAGCCATCATGGTTGACAGCAACACTAATCAGACAGAACAATGTGTGGAAGAGCGTATGTTAAGTTTGATTTGGTGCTTGCACAAAGTAAGCGGCCTTTACAGTCCTTTTTGAAAGTCTTGACTCACATGTTTGTGGTGGTTCAAAAATAGTGAAATTCATTTAAATCAGTTTCGAGTTTTGTAGGCATCTGAACAGCTTCAAACACACCATCTCGCACCTCTTTCCTACTCAGACTCCCTATGGTCTACCAGAGGATCAGTCCTGACCAAAAAGAGTGAGTTTTGTACCTGCGTTTGGAGGAAGGATGGGAAATTGAGCACATGCTGCTGTTCTTGAAAGTATAGAGCATATAGAGCAATGGGAGGTAAGTCTTAGCATATTCTACACATTTTGGATGGATGCCACCAGTAAGTGGCGAGCCCTTTCATCTAGGCCTTCTCAGGAACAAACTCATCAATTTTCCAGAAAGTGATAACAGCATCATTTCTTTGCACATTTACTGTTTGTGTTTGTAGATTATATTCATCTCCATAATACAGCTAGTATCTATTCCACTCTACATGTTATCATTACAGATAGTCACCATGCCTATACCAGCCTGGAGCATTTCCTACATTTACAGCAAGGAAGCTGCAAGGTTCATGAAGGCCCTGGTCAGGGAATTAATGCTGCCCACTATCATGTTGGAGATCTCTGATGCCGTTGAAGCCACTTCTTCACTGGAGACAGCATGAGCAACAGGATACATCAATGCCCCCACTCAAGCAAATGGGGCTTGCCCAATGAGACCTGTCATTCATTTTCAGCTGCAACACTCTTTGAGTGTTTGTAGGTGAGACCAATGTCCTAGAGTTTTGGAAGAGAGCTGCTGTTGATATTGGCTCATCATGATATACATCAGGAAAACCCTCCGCTACAAATTTAGGCTAAGTATGTAAAACTTTCTCTAATTTATGATAATTTCAATAAAATAGACAACTTATATGTAATGTAGAATAATGTAATGAAAATTTTGCGCATCATCTAAGTGTCACAAAACTATGCCTATCAATATAACAATTAATGAAGAAGGTGTCACATTCTTCAAGAACATTGTTGACGGTCCAGTGTTATGGTGCAACAGCTCCAAACCTTGGCATGAGATGGATGCTGCGGGTAATATTGGACACCGGAATGATACTTGCAACTCTCTCACCAGACTTGATTAACTGACTAATTTTGTACATGCTGTGTCTCGGATCTGGTGTTGCAGGAAAGGGGGTAAACTACTCCACATACATGAGATGCTTTGGGGGCTAGTTTGTTGGAGGGAACAAAAACTGTGTTGCTGATGCTGGAATTGAGAAAATGAGATGAATTTGACCTACATGGAAGCCTAGAAACATTATTATTCAAGCATGACGACACAAGCCTTTAAGTTATGCCTTTAACCCTAACAAAACTACCAGTACCATCATTGATAAGTGCAGTATCAAAGTGTGCTGGTACCACGTCATTTTCACGTCAGGCATTGTGATGGGGTCTAGCATGTATACTATCCACTGTGACAAGCGGTGTAGAGACTCATGCCTCTCATGGCGCGACATGGCAGTTTCCACCAAGGAGTGCATAGCACGAACTTGTAGTGTCACTCTGTGCGCTACCCACAGCTATCCCTATACAAGGCACAGCTTTCCCACACAACGCGCACCATGCGCGCACCATTCCCGCGCTTCACAATGTATGCACGTGCTGTAGAAACAACAATACTGCTAGGAACAATGAGATGCTCCTAACTGTATCTAAAAATGTCGTAGGTCGAGTGTTGCCTAGTCTGCTATGCTTGAGGTGGCAAGCGCGTTCGACCCTTAAGGGGAAGCAAGTGCAGCGAAGATCTAGAGGTACGCGCCGAAGCGAAGCGCGAGAAAGCGCAGGTGCGCGCAAGGTACGAAGGCGCGGGAACGTGCGCGCGTGCGGAAATGGTAGAGAGACTGAGCTTAAGTGATAATATAATGCAATATAAGAGAAGAGTGCGAGATGTAAAGGAATAGAGTTCTATTGCGACTTTCTAGGTAGTAAGTACTAGGTAAAGTGAGAGGTGAAAGTTCAGTTCAGTAATAGTATGTACTGCTGGCGCTTATATAGCGCGGTCATGCGGAGCCGAAGCGCTACCGAGTAGGTATGTAAAAATATATATATGTGAGAGTCCATGATAAAAATAAAGATGGAATAATATGCAATGAGAGAAATAGAAATATACGCACTAGGGAGCTTGGTGGACAGTGGATGAATGCTTCTGGATGGCTGGCGCTATAGGGCGCGCAAGCGCGGGAACGCGCGCGCATATACATCGCGAAGCGCGGGAATGGCGCGTGCATGGCGCGCGTTGCGTGGGAAAGCTGCGCATCATATAGGAATCACTGCAGATAGCACACAGAATGATGCTGCAAGTTCGTGCTGTATACTCCTAGGTGAAAACTGCCATATCATGCCATGAGAGGCATGATTCTCTACAGCGCGCGTGTTCCTGCGCTTGAGCGCCCTATAGCGCCAGCCATCCAGAAGCATCCATCCACTGTCCACCAAGCCCTCTAGTGCGTATATTTCCATTTCTTTTATTACCATATCATTCCACCTCTATTTTTATAATGGACCCTTACTTATATATATCTTTACATACCTACTCGGTAGTGCTTCGGCTCCGCATGACCGTGCTTAGGCGCGCTATATAAGCGCCAGCAGTACATACTACTGGAGGGAGTTTTTTCACTTACTTTTCACTTACTTTCCCTTTAACTTACTAGCTACCACCCACCATTTTACTTAGCAGAACATAGTAGAAGTCTATTTGTCTACACTTCGCATCTCTCTTCTCTTATATTGCATCATATTAGCACTTGAGTCTAACTTCTCTATTATTTCTGCATATGCGCGCGCACTTTCCCGCGCTTCACGCTAATACGCGCGCGCGTTCCCACGCCTTTGTGCCTTGCGCGCACCTGCGCTTTCTCGTGCCTCACTTCAGCGCATACCTCTAGATCTTCGCTGCACTTGCTTCCCTTTAGGGTTGAACACGCTTGTCTCCTCAAGTAACGCAGACTAGGCAACGCACAACCTACAACATTTTATAGATACAGTTTGGAGCTTCAATTGTTCCTCTCAGTATTGTTGTTTCTACAGTGGATCACTTTGTCCCTGAGCGTTGGTTGACAACCACTTTATCTTGTGATACACAGGAACAGTGTGGAAAGGCAGATGAATACCTGCAGCAAGGTTTTCCAGGCGCTGGCAAGTAATTACCTCATTTGGATTCTGTTGTTGTGCGATGTAACGAGTGAGGGCCTGTTGGAAGTAGGTTGCACCATAGTCAGTGATCAATTTTTGAATGGGGACGGTTTTAGCGCTTGTATGCTTTGTCAATTGCTGGGTGTGATCAAAGCATAAGTCAGGTGGATGCAGATGATGAGGAGCATGATCTCCGTCAAGACACCATTTTATGAACTGCTCATGTTCTCCTTCCGCTCTAGCCACTTCATCATCTGTATAAATTCATCCTTATGATTGGTCGCACAGTAGGCATCCTTGGCAAGATCAATATGTAGCCACTCCGTGTACTCCATATTATAATTATCTGTCATCCCAAAAGTTTGAATCATAGTCAAGTAGTGGCGTCCTGAGTGGAGCTTCGGGAGGTTGAAATTGGTTCAGATTCTGAGGTCAATGAATATCTCCTTGTTGTCATGAAAGAGAGCACGAGCTTCATCCAGTAAAAGCAGCATCTCAGAACTATGACATGGGTACTGAGTGAGGTAAAGGAAGTCGAGAAGACCACACACAGCCTTGAGGAGGCAAGACGAAGCAAGGTTTCCAGGAAGTCGAGTATCAATGATGATGCCAAGGAGAAATCAGCATATTTGACTGTGTTCAGTACCGCTGAGATGCGAGAGGCTGGTGATACCCTTCATAAATATTCGAATATGATGATTGGGAGGTAAGCAACGACATTGTTGACCTGCACCAAACTGGTTCGGTGCATGGATGACTAATACTCTTCTATGAGTCCTATACCTATGAAACCATTTTTCCCTTTGAACTGAAGTCATACTGAGGGTAGGGAATATTTTTCGTCTTTTTCTTAATTTTTCAAGTTTGTACGCAAGTGGACTGAATATTTTTGAACATTTAATTCCGCAATGAGTTTTGCTTAGTCAGCCATGAGGATGACTCAGAAAGATTCTCACACATATCAGGTGACTATGAAAAATATGTTTGCATAAGGTTACCCTGTGGGAAAGCTTACAAATCCTTAAATACGCATCTTATGTCATTATGCTACCAATCAATTCATCAGCCACAGATTGCACAAACATATGCACATACTATGTAATCATTTCTCACTCTTGACTAGCTGAGTCATTGAAGGTCACCTGACTCATGGGCTATACACAGCTCTTGCTGACTCATCATTATACCAATGAGAGTTATGAATATTTACTTTTTGACTCAAAGATATTGTGTGACTTGGTACTATCACAGTAAAGTTACAACTTTAAGTACGAGAAACTAGTAGTATAGCCACCAATTTGTCTATATAAGGAGCTGTTTCTTGCCCAATAAATGCATGCCCAAGTGCCACTTTTACCCTCTCAGAATAAAATTGTGAGTGAAGTGTGAATCAGCATTCAGCAAGTGCAGTTCAAGGTTTGTCAGAAAAAAGTTAGGTACCATTATAATACTGCCGGATTATAAGTTCGACTTGGCACCTTAAGAGGGCCTTACAAGGCATTTTAACGGGCCGTTCTGAGGCATGGCGAGGTAAAACTCAATGTAAGGTCATCAAAAGGGCCCTTATAAGTGCCTTTTAATGAGCATTAAAATATTATCTTACCTGTTTAAAAGCCCTTATAAGGACACCCTCCAAATAGAGCATTAAAATGTCTTGCAAGGCCTTACAACCCTGGGAACTTTTTTCTGGCATTGGAGCTCACTGTGCTCAACAACTAGCACAACATATCTGAGCTCACTGTGTTGAACATCTAGCACATACCTTGAGCTCACTGTGTCTGACGACTAGCAAGACTAGTTTTATTTTTCTTTCATTTCTTCTGATTGTTTTTCTGTTATTCTCTGTTTCTTTCCCTCTCTGTGTCTGTGTCTGTGTCTTTCTCTGAGATTGTCTCTGTGATTGTTTCTCTCTCTCTGTCTCTCTGGAAATGTGTCTGAGATTCATGACTGTGAAACTAACATCTCTGTTTCTCTGTTTCATTCTCTCTGTCTCTCAAAGTGTGTTGGTGGCTGTGTGTGCTGACCATCTGTTATGAACTAGGATAGTTCTAACAACAGAGACTCGACAGAGTCTTTGGACTGTTGAGATTCATAAAGTCCTTCAGAAAAGAAGGAGTTCGGTAAAGACTTAATCGAAGGAGTGCTTCAACTAAGAATGCTAGTTCAGACGACTTAATATTGGAGGTCTTAAGCGAAGGAAGTTCTGGGTAAAACCTAGTAAGATTCAAGTGAAGTTCTACAGAGCTAATACACATGCTTAGGTAAGTCAATATGCACGCACGGACCAAGGTAGTTGTGAGATATAAGTACATGATCCAAGAAAGGTAAGTGATCAGAGATAGAAAGTGTATTATGGAACAAAGAGGGGAAAGAAGTAAGGGAAAAGCATTATTGTAACATTACCCTCTTACTAGGCATAAAGTCACCGACTTTAATCATCTAAATTAGCGTAATAAATGGGGTCATCGGAATAGTCCAAGTCGTCAGAGCCTCCCTTCAACTGTTCAGCGTGAAAAAGAGCCTCTTCCTCCTGACACTGTGTGACATATTGCTCATCTCTTGTATTCTCCCAAAGGGCTAATGTGGTATAAAATCCTTCGTCCTTCCAGGTTAAGGTAGTAGGCATGCTGCCAGTATACCTAGGACAATAGAATGAAAGATGTCCTGGACTTAACTCTCTGCATACCCTGCAATAGTAATCTGGACAATGTACTTGACGATGCCTGAGAGTTTTACAGTATTGGCAAACTCAATTTTCATCTGGGTTGGATGAAGTAGAGCGTAATAATGATGGACCAGGTCGTGGGCTTAGTGCTTCGTCCGCACTAGTAGCCCGCTTCTTTCCCTTTCCTTTATAGGATTGTCCGCGTTGTAGAAACAACAATACAGAGAGGAACAAATGAATGCTCCTGACTGTATCTAAAAATGTTGTAAGGTCGCGCTTTGCCTAGTCTGCGTTACTTGACAAGACAAGTGCGTTCAACCCTAAAGGGGAAGCGAGTGCAGCGAAGATCTAGAGGTATGCGCTGAAGTGAGGCGCGAGAAAGCGCAGGTGCGCGCAAAGCGCGGGAACACGCGCGCGCGCGTGCGGAAACAATAGAGAGGTTAGACTTAAGTGATAATATGATGCAAAATAAGAGAAAAGAGATGTGAAGTATAGACAAAATGGATTTCTACTATGTTCTTCTAGGTAGATAGTGGGTGGAAAGTAAAGTAACGTAAGGTAAGTGGTAAAAATCGAAAGTTAGTTGACCAGTCCTTAATAGTATGTACTGCTGGTGCTTATATAGCGCGCCTAAGCGCGGTCATGCAGAGCCGAAGCACTACCAAGTAGGTATGTAAGATATATATGGGTGAGAGTCCATGATAAAAATAAAGATGGAACAATATGCAGATGAGAGAAATAGAAATATATGCACTAGAGAACATGGTGGACAGTGGATGGATGCATCTGGATGGCTGGCGCTATAGGGCGCTCAAGCGCGGTGTAGGGATTCATTTCTGGCTGGGCTTGTAGAGACTGTTTTTACCTTACCTTATGTTGGCACTTTTGTAGCTTACATAAGCAAGCAATCTTTTCACCAGTTACCAGTATGAGTCTGAGTGCTGAGCAAGTTTTCTATGATATTTCCTCTCCTCTGAGCCTTGAGTCTGGTCCAGAAACCCTTTAGGGTCGAATAGCAGCTAGGTTCTGCAAGACCCAACACATTGTTCAGACTCACCATCTGAATTGTTGTACCTTCAGCGGGAACGCGCGTGCGCGCATATACATCGCGAAGTGCGGGAATGGTGCGTGCATGGCGCGCGTTGCGCGGGAAAGTTGCGCCTCGTATAGGGATAGCTGCGGGTAGCGCACGGAGTGACACTACAAGTTCATGCTATGTACTCCTTAGTGAAAACTTGTCATATCACACCATGAGACACACGAGTCTCTACAGCGTGCTCTTTTCTGAAGAGTAGCAGGTGGTTTTCGTTCAACTGGGTGTATGCAGGGAATGTCTTGTTGTTCCGCCTTCGCAATTAGCTCAGCAGGAGTAGAAGGAGTGGTTTCTCCTAGCCTCTTGATAGGAATGATTCCGTCCTTGAACGTATGTGTGGATAATGATTTAGGGATGGTCATAGGAGGATGAATGTGAAGCGCTTCGAGCGCAGCAGAGAGATCCTTGATTTCATGGTAGGAGAGATATTGCTTGTTAGGGTTTGCTTCTATCTCCTCATGAGTAGTGGAGAATGCTTTATAAAGATTTTCAGGGTGATGTTGCATTTCAATGGAGGTGTTAGGTGGAGGAGTACTTTCAACGAGAGTGTCTACAGGTGGCGTGATTTGTCATTCTACGGGAGGGGATTGATTTTCTATGTTAAGAGCGGCAATCATGGCTTCTGTGATTTGCATGAGACTATTAACAGCAGCCAACAGCTCGTTAGGAATATGAGGAGGAGGTACAGGTACTGCATCGTGGTAAGACGGGGCGGGTTGTCAGTTGTTCTATTGACAGGGGATGGAGAAGGTGGACAAGCAACACCTGCTGATCATTCTGTGACAATGTGAATGACGGTTCTAATATCGTCTTTAACCTCATCAGGAATAAGGCGCAGAGTAAAGTTGTGTATATGCCTCTGAAGGTGCATAATGCCATGTCAGACTGATTCGTCCTCGACGAGGTGAGTGAGTCTCTCGATAAGGTCCATAGCTCTGACAATGTTGACGAGGAGGTTGACTGAATATGTGTTTCTTTCAAAGAGGAATCTGTTGAGTTCGATGGTGTGTTGGGGGCAGAGCATGGCTGCCTCAATGAGGGTAAGGTCTTCGGCATGGGTGATAAAGGCTTCATATTGATCTTCATTGTTTGCGTACATGGTGGTTGAGAAGGTGGATTCGTAGGGGAGTGTGAAGGAGGTTGGGAAAGACATTCTTGCTGAAGGTTCTGAGTTTGGGTGAGGAGTATATCATCGATATAGTTGTTGATTTTAAAGCGAGTTTCTGGCTTTATAGGCGTCAAGGGTCTCCGTGGCATTTCCCAGGTTTTCTTCAGGAATCCACTCATTACTGGCAGAAGAATACCCTTTCCAAGATACCAGATAACGGCGTCTTCTCCCATTCCCTTTATGCACGAGGATGGCTTCAATTTCGTATTATTCTTCTTCTTCTTCTTCTAGAATATCTGGTGGTGGTTCTAAGAAGTTTGGGCCATGTTCGTCATTTTCGCTATAGGAAGCTAACTGAGAAGCATGGAATGTGGGGTGGATCTTCCATTGCGGCAGTAATTGGAGTGTGAAAGTGATTGGAGATAGTACTGCGGAGATAGCAAATGGTCTGTATCACTTCAGAGTGAGTTTCCATGACGGGAGTTTTAATCTAAGGTTGGTAGAAGATAGCCATACCTTATCTCTGATTTTCCACAGCTGATACTTCTGTCCGAAGGATCTTTCTGTCATTTGTTGCATAGCAATGTTATGACAGGCTACTGCTTCTCCCCTTATCTTTTGGAGAAGTTTCACTCATTCTTCTGCTGCAGGTATCGTTGATTCAGGGAGAATGTATGGGAGAGCCTTTGGCTCGTATCCCATCATGATGAAGAAGGGAGAAGTGTCTTTCGCAGCATGTCTTCGATGATTGTGGATGAATTCGGTGATAGGGAGGTGTTCTACCCATTCTGACAGGTTGTTCTGGCAGTATATCCGTAGATAGGTTTCCAGTTCCTGATTTAGCCGTTCTGTTTGTCCATCAGTCTGTGGATGATATGCGGTAGAAGGGGCGATAGTGTAATCAAGAAGTCGTGCCAATTCTAGCGAGAATTTGGAGAGGAATTGGGGTCCTCTATCTGATATTACTTTGTCATGGAGACCAAAGTGTTTGAAAATGTGTTTTAGGAAAAGTTTCGCCACTCCTTCGGAAGATATAGTTTTGTGACAAGGAGTAATGATCACCCCCTTACTAAGCCCATGGTCTACCACAACCATGATACTGTTGAAGCCCGAGGAGATAGGGAGATTGGTGATCAGATCGACGGAGACCTGTGTGAATGGTCGGATGGCAGAGGTTGCGATAGGAATCAGGGGAGGGGTGGTAGGATGGGTATTCACTTTCATTTGCTGGCAAGTGGCGCATCCATCAACATATTTCCTAATAAATGTTCCCATGCCAGGCCACCAGGCTTCTCACTTGACCAATTCTTCCGTTTTAAAACGGCCAGGATGCCCTGCAGTGGGATGATCGTGGTGCTTTTCCAAGATACAGCATCTATGACCGGGTGCAATGTATGCGTGATCTTTATAGAAGAGGATATCATCAGAAATCGACCAATCAGAAAGAGATGACTTCATTGGAGGTAAACAAAGACCATTCAAAGCATCCAGTGCCGTGGTGAAAATAGGATCAAGAGTTTTGGAGGATAGGGTGGCGCAAAGATCATCATCGATGAGTTGGATAAACATGGAATCTGGTAGTAACACTGTTTCCTGATTATCAGCGGATCCGTCATCATGGTCTGGTCATCGAGAGAGTGCATCTGGAACGACTAGTTTCGATCCAGGAACATGATGTAATTCCAGGTCGAAAGAAGTTAAAAATAGCTGCCAGCACGCTTGTTGTCTAGAGAGTCATTCTGATTTTCAGAAATATAACAGGTTCATGTGATCGGTGAATACTATGATGGGGAATGGATGTCCTTCCAAGTAGTGTCTCCAGTGTGAAAGGGCTCGTATGATGGCCAATGATTCTCTATCATGGATCAGATAATTCCGTTTGGCTGGTCCAAATGACTGAGAGAGGTAAGCACATGGGTGATAATTGCCATTCTCATCTACTTGCAGCAACACTCCCCCTGAAGCGACCAGAGAGGCATCCGTTGCAATAGTGAAATGTCGAGAAGGGTCAGGATTGTGGAGTACTGGGTGACTGGTGAAGCATGCCTTGAGTTTTTCAAATGTTTGTTGACATGATGGGGTCCAAACAAATGTGGTATCCTTCTTGGTCAAATCAATAAGAGGATGGGCTATATCCGAGTAATGGGAAATGAAGGTTCGATAGAAGTTACAGAACCCCAAAAAGGAGTGAACTTCTTTGACCAATTGAGGGGCAGGCCAGTCTTTTATCCTGTTCATTTTATCCTTGTCCATTTCTACATGCCCGGGTTTAATGATCATGCCTAAATATTCCATTTCTTGAGAGTCGAAGGTACATTTCTCAGGTTTCAAGAACAACTGTTCTTGACGTCATGGACCCTTACATTACATATTATCTCATATCTGCTTCGCTTCTCGGTTCACTTTAGCGCTTGACAGCACTTATCACTACATAGTATATATACACACGCCTAAACTGTATAATGACTATCTTTCTGCCCGCACATCATTGGACTTCAAGTCTAAGTTCTCCTTCATATCAAGCCAACTCTAAGTATCTAAGTACAATATGAGCACTGCCGCCGCACACTACTAGAGACTCTGCCAATTAGTTTTCTGACTCATTAAAGAGTTGCTGCACTCCACCACCCGCAAGCACACACCACTTCCGCTTAGTGCGCACTTCCGTTATAAGTCACGCATTGTCGCTCATCGTCGGCCATCATCACTCATTGTCGCTTCATGTCGCTTTCGCTCACTAGCACCTCGCTCATTGTCACACACCTTACTAGGCTTGATCAAACACCCAGTCCAGTGTTTCCCTCCATTTATACACTTAGAGGAATCTTCTCAGTAGCAATCCCCTTGGGCCAACATATATCTCGCTCATCAAGGACTATTTGAGTATATCTCATACCACTCATACTACCCCACTTCCCATTCCTCTTCTACAGTGTGATGCATCTGTACTTGCAGCATGAAAAGAAACTGAACAGCAGCTAACTTCAGCTCAAACCTCCTAAGATGTGTCTTGCATGATTAATGACACATTTTTAGCAGATGAACAAGATATCTCTGATTATAAACCTAGTGGCGACTCAGAGTTGGATACTGATGCAGAAACTGACAATGACTTAAAGGAACTGGAAAGTTCCTGTCAGCTGAAGTAAGTACTACTACTGTTCTAGATTGCTGACTGCACATTCAATCAATATCACTCAGATACCACAATTTGTCTCGACATCAGAGGCCAAAAGGCATGACTTCCTGCTTACCCAACCAACCTGGCCTCGTACATCTGAGTCTGCACCAAAGCTGACATAGAAAACTGAATTGTTTCTGTCTAAATTAACCGTGGCTACTAAGGTCAGCCAATTCTTTAACTTGCAACTTGAAGTACACTCTGCTATTTATGCTAACAAAACTTATACCTCATAGTTGAGGCAGACAGCTGAACCATCTCCCATGGCTTCCAGGGGTAAGTCTTTGCCTCAATGCCATCCGTGCTGAAAATGAAACTAATGCCTTGTAGTCAAGGCAAACAGCTGAACCTTTCCCCTTCTCGTCGGCCCAACCAAAGGCTCCCATGGCTTCCAGGGTAAGTCTTTGCCTCGATGCCATCCGTGCTGAAAATGATATCCATTAACTGACACCTTCAACAGGCAAAGGCTCAGTCTGTGCGTGATCGTAAACGAGAAAACAAGGTAAATTCACTTCTCTGATGGTTCCTGTTTTGATTAATGTTATGCGCTGCAGACACCTGTTTGGGTAGATCATTCCAATGATGTGGAGGAACTCAAGGCTGCGTCAAATGACTATGCCAATCCGAAGTCTCCAAACAACAACTTCCTGGTACTAGATGATGACAACGATGACAACGACAACCATCATGGTCATTCTCAGGGGCCCAAACTTGTACAGAGTAGGGATTAGCATGGGTATCCTCAACCCACGTGGGTCGTGGGTGTGGGTACCTCTGGGATATGGGTGGGGGTAGGCACTTAGGATCCCCACACCCACACAGTGGGTATGTAGGCAAAAAAATTATCTTTGCACTGTGATATGTGATTCAACTTTGTCAAATATGCTAGTAGTGGTCTCAGTGAATGGTATGCCTAGGTTGAATAGCCAACAACTTCATTTTCAATAATACTATCTTTGTCATCTATGTTGATTCCATCTATCATGTTATATGTAGACTATAGAAATACAACTTTGAACTTTGGTTCAGTAGTGTTCAATCCTTATGTTACTGATATGTCAACTAATTGATAAGATAAACTAGCCATAGACTCACCTTACATAGCACTACAATTTTCATCAAGATACGTAATGATAATAACAACTTGTGTTTGGCCAAACTCATCAATATGTATTTTTATTTTGCTCAAATTACTACTGATTAACAAAATAAGACTCACAACAGACTTCTCTCAACTAGTATTACAAGGATAATGTCAACTTTTATTGTTGCATTTTTCAGAGACTTACTGGTGTTGGGTTTTTATTTAGCTTTATCTCTCTCAAATGACTGCCAATTAACAAGGTGAGACTAGCAGTATATTTGTCTCCAGTACTACTACAACATTCATTAAGATATCTAAGTGTGTAGTACCAATTGTTCATGTCGTACCCATGGGTATACCCTCTATGGGTATGGGTATGGGTAGCCATCCCTGGTACCCATGAATAAACCCACACCCACCAGTGTGGGTGTGGGTTTTTGGTGGGTGTGGGTACGCGCTGACCATGCTTAAAAACAGAGACGTTCGAATGGATCATACGTTCGAGCTAGTCCATGTGATTCATTGATGCGAAGAGTGCAACTCTTCGCATCCGAATTACAAGGATACATTCCTTTTCGTTTTTCTTACTCTTTCGTTATCATACCTTGTGCTCTGATTTCACGATTCCCGTTTCTTCACCAATATCTCTCAACGCACCATATGCTACTTACTCTCGTTCCAGTCTAGTCAAGAACTCGAAATTGTATATAAACAGCGCACATATATTCATACCAATAGTGAATCCTACCTTGTGATCACCGCTCCAAGCAATGTTCGAAAATGCCTTCAAAAGTCCTCCCTTCTAAAAATCTAGTCAAAATCTCTTTTCGTGTCAACCATTGACACGCCCCTAAAAACTATATTTCGTTCCATTCTCATTTTCCCCACCAAACTTATCCAGCCTTACAGTATACCCACACTAATCCCTAGTACAGAGCGCAAAGGCCAGAAAGTTGAAACTCACAGACCAGGATGACAGCACCCGTTGTGTTGTCTAATGAGCGATACTGGAAGCCAAGGTTCGTATAACCTTTATCAATGGCTATCCAGACATCACTGAGAAAAATCAATTTACATGAGATGCCCTCTTAACTGCAGCTCGCACCTGCGGCATCACACCTATCTATGATCACCTCAAGACTAATGAGTTGTATGTGTCTGCACTTGCATCTCTGGTAAGTCATAACTTTTCATAGGGTGCTTAGTACTATAATATTGCATGCAGGTTGATGCTCAAGTGCTGCTGTTTCGTTTCGTACCGAATTACAAGATGATGCTTGTGCACAAGTCACGGTGTATTACTGTCTTGGCCCTGATTGCGTTGATGCTGCTAAGGCTCTGCTGGTGAGCCACATTTACCATTATGTGCAGCATTTTGATGTAGGTTTTATATTCTATTTTGTATATGAATTTCTCAGCATTGCATGTGGATGCACTTCAGGAGGAAAACAACCCCGTTCTGCAGGCAACAAAACCTTACTCTGCAGATATATTGCCTTACCTAATGAAGGGACGTTACTTCAATGGGTCCAAGTCAGTTGGCGTGAAATTCGCAGACCATTTTAAGGAGATTCCAGGAAACAAGGCCCAACAGCCTGAGGTAACAATTCCAATGGTTGCTTTGACCAGCACTTTGGTACATTTTTGTTCTTGATCTACTCTTGGTCCATGTATTAACGAGCGTGTACTACTAGGTGTATGCTGCGCTCTTGTGTAAATCCAACAAATCTCCCTCCAAGTTCAATTTCATGGGCAACCAGTTCAGCGTGGTCTATACTTTCCATGTAAACTTTCTCAATGAAATGGAGGAGAATGCACCGAGCAAGTTTCACAAGCTGATGGCCAACATTTTCTCAGCTGTCCAGTAAGTTCATTGTGCTGTGAATGTGCTGCATTGACTAATTCATCTCAAAAGGAAACTCTGCTCCAATGGTGCTGCTGCTGTAGTGTCACACAAAGATGCTATGGCTTTCCTCGACCTTGATGGCATGGATGACAATGAGTAGTTCTGGAGGTCCTAGTCATGGTCTTGCGTTGATTACATTTACAATTCATTTATTGGTATTGCTATAAATATGTTTGTATACTCCCATTTAATCAAACTCTAATTTGTTCTTGTACAACTCAAATTCCTGCATAAGTGTTCATACTGATAGTCAATTGCAAGCATTCTTGGTTGTAAGTTTGCCTGATGTTGAACATAATTATCACTAATTTATCATGCATAATGAATTCCTTGTGGGGCAGTAAAAAAGTCTCTCTAAACCGCTAAGTTGTCTATGTTATCGAAATTATCATAAATTAGAGAAAGTTTTACATACTTAGCCTAAATTTGTAGCGGAGGGTTTTCCTGATGTATGCGAGCCATTTTCCAATCTTGTCAAGTATGTGGCAGTGACAGGTTTTCGGCTAGCACCAGCATGCAGACTCCTCAACAGTTTAAATATTGATCTGGTCATCAAGGGCGCACCCATGATTGATGTGTGAGGGTTAATACATCGATGCAGATCATAATTTGCCACCCACCGCTCTGTACTTTTTGACAATACACCAGACTCAGATCAGGAAATTCTCACATTACTTAAACGGACTTATCTACACTTATTTATACTTAAGTGTCTTGGCAAAAGGTGGATCTACTTGTCCAACATTTCAACTTGAATGTATTGAGAAAAAAAATGTTGATGTATATTAACATACATGTTTTATTATATTTCACACTAAAAAAATATGAAACATGCCAGGTGAATGATGCGAGAGAGCAAACGAGTTTTGGGACAAGTGAGATAAGCTGAATAAGGAGATTAAGGAATGTGTGAATTTACTGATGCGAAGCAATCATATGTGCTCTCCTTCCTCCAAATGCAGGTACAAAGCTCATTCTTTTCGGTCAGGACTGATCCCCTGGTAGACCATACTAGGGGGTCTGAGTAGGAAAGAGGTGCGAGATGGTGTGTTTGAAGCCGTTCAGAGGCCTACAAAACTCGAAACTGATTTAAATGAATTTTCATGATTTTCACTATTTTTGAACCACCACAAACACATGAGTCAAGACTTTCGAAAAGGACTGTAAGTGATCCGCACCATAAGACGAGTACTTACGAACACTGTCCTGAGCTACGCCTAATGCGGCTTGTTCAGAACAAGTTTTGAAACTTGTATCGACTGACTCGAGTTTTTTGGATGCATGTTAACCACTAGTAGGCCCTAACCAGAGTCTGGTTACTAGCGGTGCCACTGTTATTCCACCGAATCCTAACATTGTCATCAGATTAGCACTATGGCAAAAACGGTGGGTCTGTAGTTGAGTCAAAAAGAGTGAGACAACTGGGAATGTATTACACAGCATTGTAATGCGTCAGAAATCAAGCAATCAGATACGGTAGTCAAGATATGTAGATGTACAGGGAGGTGAGGCTGCAGCGATGCAAGACCTAGTACGATGGATGACTCCCACATAAAATAAGACATACGGCTATAACTCACCTGCGTAGAACCTAGCATCAAGTTCAAGACGAACTTTAATTGAAGCCATCGGCGTCAGATTGGTCGCTCCTTTCACCCTTAACATAAGTGTCCTCGGTGTAAATGTAGAGATCGGAGCCAGACTCGGATTTGTCGCGGTTCTCCACATCTGGCAGCAAGTTACGCTTACTATCAACCTCAGCATGGTGATCTGAATCATGAATACTCACAGGAACGTTTCGCGATGGCTCCTTCCGTGGGGTATGCCATAGCAAAAGCCACGATAGATGCGAGCGAGCTGAAAATAAGAGAAAGCTTCATGTTCCAGTCAAGAGGTGTGAGCTTGATGAGTACTTTGTCAGTGCACTACATTGGAATCTTCAAGAAGGCTTTTTATGCATTTTCGTCGATGATTTCGTCCGCTCATGACTAGTGACTCACTGGGTCACCTAAATTGGTCGAAGCCTTACAGGCTTACTTATTCAGAATTTTCGTCACAACCTCGGGGATTTTTCAAACTTCTACGTGGACGGTAAATTTAATCAGCCGCCAAGTGTCTGCATCGGAGAATCATTCAGGGAGATGTGTTTAACTTCCGTCTGTCGGACATATAAAATCCGAGAACATTGCCGGATCGGCATTAGCTCGATACAGTTGCAGCCCGGCGAACGCACTCGATGATCGATGCCAACATGGATTTGGCTGAATTTCCTACGAAAGACCGTTGGAACTTCGACGAGACCAGTTTTTTTACCCTTTGTAAGTCATCATTTACATCTTTCGTAGTCAAGATGACACGTACTGATCTCGCTGGCAGCACCTCAGCGATACGATTGTCCGACGCCAATATCCACATGGCGTACGTCGCACGGCAGCACCTCGATGGCTATGAAGCCATAGTCCAACACGCCATCAAGAGAAAGGCTGCATTCGATAAGAGAGTACTAGCCGAGTCACTCGAAGCGCTGAATTGGCGGACTTGGTGAAGGAGGAAGTGTACAGTGCGACACGTCGCTATCATGCGGGAGTACGCCTGGAAGTGCGATGATCGGATGATCGGAGGTCGCGCACATATCCTCAGCAGTTTGACACTCATCAACATGCATTCTTTTGGGCACGTGTCCAGAAAGTCTACATGATTCCTCAGAATTTGATCTACAGTAGGTACATGCGTGCGGTATTTGGCCCAGGAAAGTGAGATTCTGACGCTGCTTCAAGGTTTCTTGGTTTAAGTTGATGTTACTTCATTCACGTGCGTGGTTACAGCATTCCCGGCTGACATTTGTCATACAAGTTTCATCTGGACTGCATACAATACTACGCGTCGAGTTAGAATGTATCGCTGCTTCCTCTTGTATGGAGTTGAGAAGCACCAAGGCGATATAATGACCTCAGCTGAGTCGATAAGAAATTGCTAGAGTCCCTGTAACTGACATAGAATGACGCCCAAAAATTCAGTCGGGTTTATTAATTTTTCAGTTCTGTCGTTGTATTTTGATCTTCTAGCCATGCGCGTATACTGCTACTATTACTGAGGAACATGTAGTCTCCTGCCGTAGGATCATCTAAAAAAGACATAGTTGTTGCCCGGACGAGAGCCAGCTAGCACTGAGCAGGTTGTATACCGTGTCATGTTAGATGGGAGTTGAGAGAGCTCGAGGTGACAGCACACGAGTTGGAAAATGCGATACACAATGTCACTAGATCACAACTGAGTGGCAAGAACACTGGCTGTATCTCAGTGAAAACTTTTAAGAGCACGTAAAACAACTGGGATTGTACTACATATGCATCCATCATGTCAGAAAACAAGCGATCAGATAAGGGAATCGAGATATGTAGATGTACATTGGAGTTACTTGTAATTGAGGCTGCGGTGATTCCAGACCTAATACGATGGATGATTCCGACTCCCACAAAATACAAGACATAGGGCTATAACTCACCTGCCGCGTAGAACCTGCCGTCAAGTTCAGTACGAGCTTTAATTGAAGTCATCTTCCGTCCGCTTCCCCTCGTGAGGGTGTTTCTTCCGGTGGTCAGCGTCATCTTCCTCACGCTTCCCCTCGTGAGGGTGTTTCTTCCGGTGGTCAGCGTCATCTTCCTCACGCTTCCCCTCGTGAGGATGTTTCTTCCGATGGTCGGCGTCATCTTCCTCACGCTTCCCCTCGTTAGGGTGCTTCTTGTGGTCAGCGTCGAGCTCCTCGCGCTTGCTCTCACCGTGAGGATGCTTCTTGTGGTCAGCGTCGAGCTCCTCGCGCTTGCTCTCACCGTGAGGATGCTTCTTGTGGTCAGCGTCGAGCTCCTCGCGCTTTTCCGCACCATGAGGATGCTTCTTGTGGTCAGCGTCGAGCTCCTCGCGCTTCCTCTCACCATGAGGATGCTTCTTGTGGTCAGCGTCGAGCTCCTCGCGCTTTTCTACACCATGAGGATGCTTCTTGTGATCAGCGTCGAGCTCCTCGCGCTTCCTCTCACCATGAGGATGCTTCTTGTGGTCAGCGTCGAGCTCCTCGCGCTTTTCCACACCATGAGGATGCTTCTTGTGATCAGCGTCGAGCTCCTCGCGCTTTTCCACACCATGAGGATGCTTCTTGTGATCAGCGTCGAGCTCCTCGCGCTTTTCCGCACCATGAGGATGCTTCTTGTGATCAGCGTCGAGCTCCTCGCGCTTTTCCGCACCATGAGGATGCTTCTTGTGATCAGCGTCGAGCTCCTCGCGCTTTTCCGCACCATGAGGATGCTTCTTGTGATCAGCGTCGAGCTCCTCGCGCTTCCCTACATTTGATAGAAGTTCGGCGCGGTTCTCTGCATCTAATAGCAAGTTACGCTTATCAACCTCCGCATGGTGATGAGTGGTTTGAATACTACTCACAGGAACGTTTCGCAACGGCTCCGTCCACAGGGAACGCCGTAGCAAGAACCACCATGGATGCAAGCGCGGTGAAGACGAGAGAAAGCTTCATGTTTAAGTTGACAGATGCGACTGGTACGTTTGTCGATGCACCACATTGAAAATATTCTAGAGGGCTTTTATACCTTTTCGTATGTCGGTTCATGACCCAGGTCACCTAAATTGGTTGAAGCCTTATCCACTCAGAACTTTTGTGAGGGGCTATTCTAAGTGGACTTAATGAGCCGTTAGTCTCCGAATTGAAAGATCGCTCAACACCCACAATCCCAACAAGGTAAGACCGTCAACCCAAAGTCCAGATTTCACCTCGGATCAACTTAGTTCATAAGCCCATGCTGGCGAGAGGTCTGAGGGACGGCAGCCCCGTTCGCATTCGCAAATTGGAAATCGGAGACCGAACAGACCGCCGATGTCGAAATCCAGATAGGTAAAATAGAGATTCTTTGAATCTATGACCCTACTCAATAACCGTTTATTTCGCCAGTTTATTTCTTTGTCCGAAATAAACTGTCAAGTAAGGTTTGTATGCTGTGCCTGGCTCGGGAGGTGAAACGAGCAGCCGAATTGCAGAGACCCTGCCGTGAAGTAACACCTAGTGCACCCTGTCATGCTGCGCGATAACTCAATGCATCAATAACGTCAGTGCCGACGGGGCACCTCAGTTTTCCATCTTCGTTCCAGTAGTTACTCGTGGGTCAGGACCGCTAGCACCTTCGAGGAGAGTGTGTAGTGACTTGTAACCACTCTCGGAGCCACCGTTCGGCGGCCAAGCCGTGGCGAAAACAAGTGACCAGCGGTGAACACATCGCCGCTTCGGGAACTGTCGCGGCGCAAGCACCGTTGACTACATGGAGCAAATAAGCCCCTATACATAATGGGTATCGGCAGAAGAACCAATCATCCCGGATCTTTTAAACCTAGGGGCTTCATCATCTTCGCATTCCGATCTTGACGCTTTGTGTACACCCTGTTAAAGGTAGTGGCGTCTGATCAAACCCCAATGGTGGAAATCTCATTATCATCGTGCGGTTTACGCAAGTGTTTCAGATATCATGGAGCGTGTTCGTTTGCCCGTTGTCCAACTGGAGATCCTTTGCCAGCAGTATCTGTGAAATTACTCGTGCAGATTCAATTCGCGTTATCTCAATCGATTGAAATGGTTACATTACGTGTGTGGTTAGACGGGATTTATCTAGAGATGAAGAAGAAAAAAAGAACAACAGGGTGCTCACGCAATCCGCAGCACGGTTGATGTTCCGATCTTGGGTTTGGTGCCTCGGGGGGGACGAATGCGTCTTGGCGACAGAGAAGATGATTTCTTTTATTTTTGTTTCAATGTAACAAATTGACTTAACGTAAGTCGAGTAAGGTGCCTGAAAATACACGTGATGGTGAGCCTGGTCTCGACTAAATAAAACACTATACTTATTTTAGAGACAGAGGAGGGACACGTAGTGTGGCTAATTTTAGAACACCGTCTGGCTCTCTGGTTCTTTGGCGGAGCGACAAAGTGGGCGTCCAACAGTCTAAATAGGTCTCATTGAGAGCATCAATCAAACCATTCAATAAGTGACAAGAGGGCCTGGGATGCCCGGAATGCCGTTGTGTTTTGTTGGTATTCCAGTAATAGTTCTTTTGTTGCTGATCCTACCATGTTTGGACGAGTCGATACTGGACGCGAAAGATACCTGCCTAAGCCTACCTCGGTTTGCTGGTTCTTCCTGTATTTTGACTGGTACCCAAAGGGCAGTGATCCGTGCTGTTCTATGCGCTCGTACCAACCGCGTGCGAGTTCTTCCAGGTCCTTCCCACCACCGGTACGCGTTTCAGGGGCAGACAAAGTCAATGTCAACTACATCAGAAGACTGGTGAGCCTGAGAATGTCATGCAGTCATCCATTACGACGTCAAGGCCACACAATAAATGTAACGCACCCCAGAAGACTCCTCGGTTCTCTGATGCGCAGCTCGCACCCAGGTCAGATGGTGGCCCCTGCCAGCATGCACCTCACTCTTCCCGGTCGTAATCAGCACCCCCGATAATGACTGTTTTATTCTTGTTCCACTATAACAAATCAAGGTGTTAAAAACAGATCTTGATCATGACGATTGCAATGAGGTTTCGGTTCCAGGATTCAGTTTCTGATTGCAGGGGTAAACCTTTTGTAAACGCGAACTTTATGTCGTTAATCACCGCTCCTGCTGGAATGGACTCGGAGAACTCGACATGGTCATGATGCATGTGACGTCAGGGTGGAGGAGCAACTCGAAAAAAGTCTCGTTCCGATCGTCTGCCTCGGGCCAGGCTCGAGTCAGCTCCACGTTCGAGGGTGACCCGAGACTATTAATAAATGTTGTCCCATGGAAGTAAATTATAGCCGTAGCAAGATACTATGATTAAAACTATCATTAGTACTGTCATTTTTCCATCAGACTCATCTCAGATGACTCGAACGACCTAGTAGACGCTGAAAGGAATGAGTACTGATACGTGACCAATAGTAGCAAAATACCTGAAAGCATTGACCAGCAAAGCGTACGACTCACTGGCTTCCTTTGAATTTTCGTACTTGAAGTAGAGACGGCAAAACATATTATTCAAAAGGTAATATCTTCGGCTAAAACCAGTCCGACGGCAAAAAGACGCCAGGGGGCGGACTTTCAAATAACCTAGGTATGTACTAATCTTATCACTCCCTACATTACTTGTAATACACTCATTTTGTATGGATATCGCATCTCAGCGCTCAGCTACCGCCTTCCAACAATAGCTATCCGAAGCCTCCGTGTGGACGACTTCTGCCAGTAAAGTTCAAGCATACCGTATACGCCGCACTGGTGTACCTTTTATTTTCAACATCCGACGTGCCGTCTGTTAGCCACGAGTTTTGCCGCCGCTCTCTGCCGGACTTGCCGTAGTGCACGCCGGTTTTTCAGGGTATTCCTATGTCATTGATGTACTCTTGATCGTTGCCGTTCCTGTACTCGTGGATGTATGTAATGAGCAAGGACCACGTTATTCCCTATACATCATTGTGCATCAGATGGGGGGGTAAGGGAATGTCAACTGTATCTTCGAAACGAGTAACCGCTGATCGAGGGATATGAACAGCATGCTCGACAGTCCAGTCCAAAACTTTCTCGAAATCCCTGCATTGGTGGCGGGTGTTGAAGTTAGGGTATGGGATTTTGTATCCCTGAACCCAGTCCCATGTTATCATCGTCACGTCGGCATTACACATGGTATTCTCCCTGAGCATTTCAATGCAATGATCTGTGATGCACACGATAAGGAGGAAGTGCGTATATAAATAAAAAAACAATGTACCAAGATGCATGCGGACTACTTCGGGCGTATCCTGGAACGATGGATCTATGGGCCCGTAATACTTGGGCCACGAGGCTTTGCGAAGTAAATTCTACAAAATGTGAGACAAGAGCGACTGGACTTTGGGTGCATGTAGGATGATTTACCAGACAGTGAAGTTGGTGAGGGGCTTCCATGGATACCATGAAACCCCCACCAAATTCGGGCGGATATTTGACCTTGGAAGGTGTATCTACTTCGCCGGCTTTGAGAATCTCCTCAAGTGACATCCGAGTTGGTGGCACTGAGGTTTCATGGACGCAGACAATTACTAATTAGGACGAGGTGAAAAAATTGGGCGACACACCATCATCAGTTATTCTGGCCCAAACGGCATCAATTTCTTGGGAAGGAGGGCCACGATAGATAGAAGGAAAGTCGAGCGTTCCGTTGAATCTTATGATCATGGAGTCAATAGCACCACTTGCTGGAGCTGTGACAAATTATCAATACTATATGTCAACTGTCCGAGGATGTCCGCTCACTCACAGTATACAGGAATGTCGTCATGCAGGTGGGGTGAAGGCGTGCCCATCCATAGCGCGAAAAAGAGTATCGATGTGCATAACAACGTGCCATGGCTCACCAGAGGCCACACGCGAAGGCTACTATACAACTTAGGACGAGGTCCTGCACGGAACTCTTCTGCATCATCAAATGATTCCTCCTCATTACCATAGTCAACAGCGTCGACAGGAGAGTACTCCAAGGAATCCTTGACCATGACCCTGAGGGAGATTCGGTGAACTTGGTGTGTGGATAGTTGAGAATACGCGAAGGCAGATGCGAGAAATATTTAGGATGTGTATTAATTTCGATCCTGTCCCCCAATCGGCTGTGTCTCAATGCGTTAGAGTATCATACCGCTGGCGCGAGAGTCACATGCCTTTAGCGGAGTGCAAGAAGGGGAAACATAGGCCCGGAATGATCGGAGAAGAAGCCAGCTGGATTTCAGGAACACTGTGGCATACCTGGCTGGCAGTGCGAGAATCGATGTGGATATATGCAGATGGGAGTGACGCCTTTCTGACGCCAGGTGATGCCATAACGGTCGTATGTACCTGTCGGAGATCCCCAGAGTCCATGGAGAGGCCATTTGGTTTGGATCAATAATTTTCGAGAGAGAATATCCCACTGTGATTATCACGTGACGTCAGTAACCGTGTGAACTATCAGAAGCCTAATCGAATATGGCTGCTATAGTACTTCGGATTATAGAATATCTTAATGTTTTCATGCTCAGGTAGCTCCATCAGTAAAACTCAAGCCCCGGTCTCTATGTACCCAGAGTTACAACTTGCACACGTGTAAGGCTTGACTCGGAAACCCTACGAACTTCAAGTCCTTTTCTTGCGCCAGCTATGCGTAAGGAATATTCTGCATCGTATTCTCCTGTCGACGATCGTGATGACACGAAACTCCTTGATAGCAATACAGAAACAAGGCCTCTTTCAAAATTCCGTCTTCTCAACTTGTCGCCATGGCTAACCCATGGTGTGCTGATGTTCATAACAATGATGTTCTTCGTGCTATGGGTACGGGCGCCTTCGATCGATGACGTAGTTCTGTACTGTAGGTGGACGGACAGCGTCAACTGCACCTTGCTTACTCGTCATAGCTCCAGTAAACGAGGCCATTGAATCCATCGGTATTATACGACTCAATGGAACTCTGGGCACTCCTTCTATATATCGTGGCACTCCATCTCCAGAAGTCGACGCTGTTTGGGACAAGATAGCTCTTGATGGTTGCGTCCTATGCTTGACTTACATCATGGATATTTACTGACTATGATATTTCCCAGCGCGCCCAATCGGTATGACACTTGAGCAACTGCTCAGAACGGGGGCGAAACCTTCTCCTTCCATGACTAGGTATCCGGATGAATACGGTGGAGATTATATGGCAACTGTAGAAGTCATTCACCAGCTCCATTGCATAGTCAGTCGTCATACAAAAAGGTTGGTCGATACTTACTCACTCCCTGTAGGATATGCTTCGCAGAGTCAGCTGGAGTAATCATTCCTCGGGACATGGCGCCCACGAATCTTCCGAAGACTTCCGCATTCATCTCGGTAGGTACGCTGTTTCCTGCCCGGAACACGTCTACTTATGCTGCGCCTCAGACCACTGCATCGAAATGCTCAGGCAGAACATTATGTGTCGTGCCGACGTGACAATGCTCACTTACGACTGGGTGGAGGGAGTCAAAGATCCTTTCCCTAACTTTAGAATCCCTCACCGATGCAGAAACTTGGAGAAGGTCTTGGATTGGGTTGATGCGCATCGTGTTGATGTCCCTAAATCCAAGATGGTCCGCTTGGAGGGTAACGTGGACCTGCCTTCCCCTCCCTGATTACAGTCTCGATATATTCTCACGGCTCTCGCGTAGATCGCGATATGACGAATGTAGCAGAGCCAACGTGTTGAAACGTCGGATGGAAATATTATTTCTGCAGAATGAATTAATATTGTGATCATTTTGACAGCGCTCCCACAGTTTTCCCGATGTTCCATTAATGTAGCTCCAACGGCGCTAGAAATGCCGCATGCGCAGCAACAAGCTCTGAAATGGACGCATCGGTGCATCCTCGTTTAAGAACTGCCGTACGGAAAATCATATCACTGAAGCACAGTAAAAGAACCAAACGGTATCTATACGGTCTGTCTATAGCGTAATATTACTCATATGATGACTCAGGGGCCCCGGAATTTGGCCATAATTTGGGTTTGAACTCGAGATCAGCTGATTAACTCTATCCATTCTACTGTATCTGTTACGTGGCTAACTTGAGTGTTGCAACGTGTTGAGACAGCGGACTTTGCAAGTTTTTCTGATAGAAAATAAACCTCGATCAGTCGGTGATAGCACAGTGACCACCTTGGGGCCACTGGTAGGAACGACGTTGTGGCCGTGCCATGTTACTGAACGCAAATTTAAATACGCTATTGGTGAGGAGATGAACTTCAAACTGATGCCGTGCTTAAAATAACTGAGTTATTAATAAACTTCAGTTCCGTACTACAAACCTTGCCTTCGTATCGACATCTGAGTCATGATGGGTTCTCCGCAGTCCATCATGACTATACTGGAACGGCGGTGAAATGTTGTGGTGAGTAATAACTTTATTATAGGCGGTGGAGTTAACGTCCAAGATTTTCAACGCAGAACTTGACCATGGTAACAGTAATTGCGGCGAGGTCGACTGCATAATTCGTCGGATATGTGGGTTGTGCTTGTTCATTTTGAACGATGCCGTTACACTCGTCATCTCCTGCAAAAGAATTCTGTGCTTTCAGCCCCGCTTACGTTTCCTCTCACACGTCAAGCAGCGATGTGGATAGAACTCTCTAGCTGCGTCGCGTCGCGTGCCCAACTAACTCGAATTCGAGCAATGGGGAATGCGAGTCGTGCTCCTGCCAGTGAGAACTTGCATACTTGCTTTCGTATACTGTTCACGACGTTCGAGGTTTCTGGTCGTCAAACACCTCGCTTGTGTTTGCTGTTCAACAATGCCATTCAATGAACTGCGACAGTGTTTACGATGATATTCTCAGTAATGAGGCTAATCTCTTGGATCGTTGGTCTAACTTCTCAGAAAGGTTCTCAGAGTGCTGAACAATCAGCCCTCAAGGTCTAAGAGCGAAGGTTGTAACGAGAAGCGGACATTTTGTTGGTCATCACTTAAACCACCCATGACAGTATAACAATTTGGTTACAGCTCTAACTATGCTAACTTGGGGTGAACACTCAAGTTAGAGAGCTGTAGACAATTCAACACGCGATGTTGAGAGCACTTGATCTGTAGTTGAGTAAGTAATGAAAGCATCGTGTACTCCAATCCATTCCTGTAACACTCCGCGAAAGAGGGCGAGAAAATACGTTCCATCACCGCAAGCCGACTGGCCACTCCGACGGCAGCCTGATAGGGGCAAACCTCATTGATAAGGGCATTCGCGACTTCCGAGATCAGAAGGGACAACGGGGGTCCAGAAAGTGTTGCTAATGGACGCAAATCGGAATTCAAGAAGAAAAATGAAAGTGACATAACTGCAATATCATTACACGGGTTTGCAGAACGTCGGAAATCGAGTAACCAAGTAATAGAGTCGAGTGGACGAAACGATGTAAAATTGTAAATGAACGACATGACTTGTGGGCGAAGCAATTAGTGGCCACCTAGAAAGGTTCAAGGTTTAATGGATGACTCCAACGAGACAAGTAGCTATAACTCACCTATATAGGACGTCAAGGGCACGTGCAGTAATCGAAGTAATTGAAGTCATTAGCATCAAGTTCCTCGCGCTGCTCAGTATCTGGTAGCAGGTCAACCTCCAGATATTGTATGGAGTTGCTGGCAGTCATGGACGCTCACAGGACCGTCTCGCGATAACTTCTTGCATGATGTGTGCGGCTGTAGCAAGAGTCACGATAGATGCGAGCCCACTAAGGACGAAAGAAAGCTTCATGTTGGAGTTAAGGAGAGTGTGCACTATAATTGAATGTTCAAGAAGAATTTCGTACCTTTTCGTAGATCCGCTCGCAGGCAGAGTCATCTGACCTTGCTAGAGAACGAGAGCACCACGTATGTGTTACGATAGTCGTGATAAAGTTACCACCCACCATACAGTCCACATGGCCATTACACTAATAATGCGCAGCAATACCTTATTCCATTCGTATTTTTACAAAGGAAGGCGGTAATTGATTGTTAAATTGACCCTCGATTTTCTGAGTTTCAAAAACCATTTAATACGTACGCACAATCGAGACGACGAGAAGCTCACCAACGGCGACGGAGCAAGGTCCCCCTCCAGATCGAATCAGCACATCTGCATCTGGGCCTTCCGACGCGAGAAAATGACGAGGTGAAACATACTAACCTGCATTTTGCATTCGAATACAATGATCTAGTTCATTGATTCGGGAACTGCCGCGGTGCAAGTACCGCCAGCTGCTAAAAATACATACCACAAGAATCTAGGAAAATCTAGGCTTAACTCCCTAGAAGCTAATCCTAATGGTGATGAACTGGAAGCCGCGGTAAGCCATCTGTTTTTTTTCAGGTCCCCAGATTTTTCCAAGGAATTTTGCGAAGAAGGGACGTGTTTTCGACAAAAGTACGTTCTCGCCGTGTCTCACGTGCCGTCAAATTTGAAATCTGTTCTCGAATTTCAAAAACCACCGCAACTTGCGGAATCAATCTATTTGTGTTTTGTTCGTCAACAGAAATCACTTTTTGGCTGAAATTCGAGGATGATGTACCTGAACGTTGAACGTTTTATGCACCGATTCTCGGACTTCGATTGGCATTCCGTGGTGTGTAGTTTGCAAAGAACGACGATATCTTGAACGAAATTCACATGCAAATGAACACTTTGATGTTGATGTGTTGGACTGTTCCGCGCTATAACATGCAGCTTTGTCTGCTCGTGAGCGTGCATCAACGGCGTAAGAGCGTGGCTTACACCCTCCTAACCTCCGAAAGATCGAGCATGGTGGGATGTCGTCGAAAGTAGGACATTCGGATCAGGACCTGGTAGCCAGAAGTCTTCTGCTTGCCAGAGAACGAGGCGTTGGAAGCCGCGGCCGCGAGGACGCTGATCGAAAATATGATCCATCTTCCCTTCTTCGAGACTCTTGGGTAGCGGCGGGACTAGGTCACGGCAGTTCTCAGGAGAGGGTCAGTGTCGTCTGGGGCGTGGTACTTGAAGTTTAGATACATAGGTGAATGTTGATGCATCGATGTGTGGTAGGATCAAGCGTATATGAAGATGACTCAGAATGGGCAGAAAGAGATTTTAGAAGTCTCGTCATAAATTTGGCTTCCCCTTTAGTTTGGCTGTTGAAATATTCGTATCGACGATGAGGGGCGGAGAGGTATATGAAATCACTGTATGAAGTGACAGAATGTGCCTACGCAACCTTGTATGTTAGCAATGCATCGTGAGCGTCTGAAACATCAGTCAGAAGAGCAAACGAGCTTAACATACGCATCAAACTCATTGTGCAAGTCATTCTTTGTTAATGATATGACACGGTCTGCAAAGGGAGATAGCGTCCACTGTCCGAGATGGGGATTGAAATGAGAGTAGCCGACTGATGTCATTCACGGAAGACATATGATTACAGCGTACTCGAGATAATGCGCAACTGCCCGGAGCGTCTTCGTATGAGGGTTGTCGTGTATTGCGAGTATCAACTATAGGTCCGCGTGCCTGAAAAACTTGCACATCAACGCCGTGACCTAGAGGTACGACGAAGAGAATTCGCAAGTCAAAAGGAACGTGACCAGGAACTCCTATCGTACATATGTGAAGCTGGAGGGTCATGCGAATGGCTTCAGAAATTATAAACATTGCAATAAAAATCAACTCAATGGGTTGAATGTGAGCGATGAAGTGGGTAAGTGACAATGAAAACTGAATAATAACGGAAGGACAGGACTGATGCACGCAGAATCGCTAGCATTTCTGCTCCGTGGCATGTAAGCTCCTACGATGATGCACTCTTACTGGGGTGGTTTGCCTGCCAGTCAGCATATTCTTTCTGGTAAGCTTCCACATAGGGCTAGAATGACATATCGTTAGTCATTGAAAAATAATTATCAGTCGGGTTCACTTACGGCCTTGTCAGAGGCACTCATGGCCCTCCACCGTGCACCGGCCTCACGAGCAACATTGACAGCTCCTCTACCTGTGGCAGTGACTCCAGCTTCTTGGATAGTTCTACCATCATCTGATTGACGGAAATGTTCTATGAATCTGTGTGGACCGTTCTTTGTTGTCAATCGTCAAAATTTTACCATGATACATAAACTGACCTAAAGAAAGGCCCCTTAGGGCGCTTATAGTGATTCTCTTGATGAGGTCGGTGAATCTTGTTTCTCCCGTCATGTTTACGACGCGCATTGATTTCCCTGAGCGTTTTAGGAGAGGCACTCTTCCAATATTCATTTAGCTTCTCTTCATACTGCTTCTTCAAGACTTCAACCTCGTTGTAGTAAGGCTTTGAGGAGCGATTTTAGCATGACACATTGCAGATATGGCGATGTAAATGACCTGTTTCTCCGCAAGAGTAAAGCCATTCCACATAGTTGCGGCTTCCTTTGCTAAATCCTGAGTGTCCATAGCGGTCTTGATGTCATTCCTACGGTCTTGAACGAGCCTCGAGAAAAAAAGTAGATAGCCGTTAGGGGGACGCGAAGGAGGCTGCTCAGACTTGGGCACCCTCTTGGGTGCTATAGCGACACATATAAACATGCGCTTGACTACAAGCTCAGCCAATAGCGCTACTCACGGGGCCGCTCGATCGTCTTCTTGGATATTGCTTTTGACTTAGGTTTGGACTTTGCTTCCTTGGTGGCTTCCGCCTTCTTTGGAGCAGCTTTTGTGGCTGTGGTTTTCTTTGTGGTTTTCTTCGTGGTTTTCTTCGCTGGTGCTGAAGCGCTTTTGGATGCAGCGGCCGGCAGCTGGATACGGCGCGTAGTGAAGAATGTACGACGCGTCGCAACGAATGCGGACGCAGTCAACACCGACGAAGACAAAACATTGGTGCGCAGCACGGGAAGATGGGACGCGATATGGCGAGCAAAAAGCGAGAGCATACTGAGAAAATGGTGAAAAGAACAGGAGGAGAGGAGACTACTAGTAATACTTGGTACAGAACTTGAAGATTATTTGGTCTTATTGTGCAAGAGCTTCGTGAACCACTACGCTTCTAAAATTCCCTTCTTTGGAACCAATCTATCATGACTACGAATAACCCTCAGTTTGTTTTCGATTCAAAGTCCCTTCCAATCGCTCAACTTGAACTCTTAAAATTCAAGGCTAACCAAATTATTGAGTCTATCCAGACACTCCAGCGTACAATCGAGGTTGGCGGACAAAACGCCATGCCCGCTTGGCCAGACATCCTCTCTAAATACAATGTCATTCTCTCCCAAACACATAGTTTCTCCCAATCGCTATCGTCGCCTCAGGCGCAGTCACAAATAAGCCAGGCGCAAGCTCGGCTCGGCTCCGGCATGTACGAGAACATCGCTCTCCATCCTAGCATCGGAATGACGGATCATCAGCTCGACAATGACCTTATCCCTCTCTTGCGCAATCAGCAGACGACAGATGTATTGAATATGGAAACCGCTACTGTTCGGCGTCTAGCGGAGTGCATGGCTACCCGTGGCGCCATTGCCACGAATAGCGTTCAGACCAACCATTCCCCTACCACCAGTGGTCGGGTGACACACGAGGATGTACTGCATGAATGTGAAGAGATACGGGGTGCGCATGATCATCGTGTGGAGCGCGCTGTCAGGGCTGTGATGATGCTTAGAGATAAGTTTGAGTGGAAGCAGCGCGTTGAAGTGGAGGTGGAGGAGCCAGAAGAACTTGAATGGGATCCACGTACTATGGGACACGAGGACGTTGAGATGACCAACGAAAAAGAAATGACAGTGACTCCCGAGAATGGAGACCTTGGAGAAGGACAAAGTAGTGATGAGGAAGATATCGTAGAAGGTGAACTCACAGGAAACGATGCTCCGACACCAGTTGCTTCCCCAGCCGCAGTACTAATAGATGTTGAAATGGCCTCTGCTAATGCTTCGTCATGATATACCTATCAGGAGGTATAACGTCTATATCTTTGCTTCAGATATATAGCTGAACTCTAGAGTTACAGGACTTTGGTACTTGTATCATTCTAGTGACAGGGTGCATCCTTCAACGCCTCAACGCATCTTGGGAGGATCTCCCTTGCCCAATAGAGCTTTTCATGCGTCTTGTTGTCCCCTTCCCCCTTTTCCTTATCTCTCCTAACTTCTACCAGTACAACTAGAGCTAAGAACAGCGTGTACCACATCCTCTTCGTTCTCTGCCTCGGGAAAATCATCAACGTGCCGCCCTCTCCTTCCAGATACCCTTCTTCCAACGCTTTGCTTGGCCCTGGCGGCATAAAAAATGCCTCCAACATCGGGTCTCCCCACACCACCCGATCAAATGTCGGCAGCACATATGCAATGTCAAATCTCGCTTCCTGGTTCGGCCCACAAGGCTCCGAAACTTGGACATACACATCGTCCGCCGAACCTGTCAGCCAGACCAATGTAGGCACTTCTGCGTCTTCAAATAAAAATGACCCAATAGCGCGGGATAGATATCGCCTTATTTCCTCCACCAACGTCTTTTGCATCTCTCCAGAGCTTTCAAGCTCGCATAACAGCCCATCAAGGAGCAGCATGAATGTATCCTGCCAGCTATAGCATAGTTCCTCATCTGGTTGTGTTCCTGGGACACCAAACCAATCGTTTTGGAGTGAGTGCATGGAATGAAGGAAGGTTCCTAACTTAAGGTCCAGAAGAGTATCTTGGAGCGGAGTGAGAGTTCCGCTCGATCGCAGCGATGAGAGGGACTGGGCGTTTGGTGAGGGCAGGCGGAGGAGGAGATAATGGAATGGGTAACGTGCGAGGGAATCATCGAAGCTTCTAGATTCTGGTACAGGCATTTTGGTGTTATTGGAGATTTCTGAAAGAAGATCGCGGATTGTGCCAAGGGAGAGTGGCTGCATCACTGACTCGGAGGCCGGTTCAGAGCCGGGTGTCTTGGGAGCAGTAGCAAGAAGGTATGATGCATTGCGGAGCAAGATATCGATCTTGTAAAACCTGATACAAGGAGTGTAACTGGAGCATTGCATGTAGCGATAATCCTTTCAAGCGTGTGATTGATACATCATACCTATATCTCTTATTGCAGATCTCCTGAAACTGTTCGATCACAGCATCGTCGCCTTCGGTTTGGGCGACGATGTCCTGGGCTTGTTGCTGGGTGACATCCATGCGGCTTTGAAGATAGGACTCTAACTAAAGTTCGACTCAGGACTCGCAAAACCGATTTGGCTGCAGAATCCCAGCCCTTGGGCCTCTGGGATCAGGTGTCCCCAGCAACTTCAAGCGGAGTCTGTTAACTTGAATGTGCAGTACTTACTCGATTACTTTCGCCAATAATTCATTCACGCACGTCGCGAACGTACATCAGAGAACAGATGAGTCCTTGATATTGTAGCCGTGGGAAGTATAGCACGGTCTAATTCTGCTCTCACCAAATATTATCTTTTATACTGTGGGCAAATTGAGTTGTACATACATACACATGAATGCCTGCAAATCCGGCTTGACATAAACAGCCCATGACAATGCTGTGACATCCCTCCTTTGTAACCGGTTAGGAGTGCTATTATACCTATTCCAACTATTTTGTGCGTTCTCATTTTTCAAAAATTGTGTCTTGCATTATATTACTATGTAAGGCTTTCTCGTGGAAAGCGACACGAGCATTGATCATCAGATCTTGATTACCATGAAAGTTTGTGACAATCTTGTGACATTGCACCGTCGCAGTCTAATAGGTATTGTAGGGTAAAGTATGTCTCTTTGTTGAGTGTTTTCGTGCACCATTCTTTGGGTTTAAGAATATGACGCCATTCATGACTTTTTAGTAGAATACGTCTTTCGCAGTGATCCACTAAACTTATCGAGAGTGCCAACTGAAACATGACTTCTAATCAGTCTCATGTCTATCCTGCCGCTCGCGTATTTGTCAGCCCAGTCACCGAATATTGTTTGCTTGAACGCTCTCCCCTCGTTAGGGAAAAGTACGGATGACTGAAGGTCCGTTAATGCAAGATGCATGCCCTTTCAAAAGCATCAATAGTGTCGCATGTCGCGGTCTTGTAATTAACTCGAACTTCCCTGACCGTGACTTCGCTACTTACTAGTACTATCCTGATCATCTGCCCAGAGCATACTAGCCGCTCGAGGCTGGAATGCAGTTCCCATGTCTCGACCTGACACCGACACTCAAGAACAAGCACGACCTGTGTAAAAACAAATTAATTCCATGAAAGTACTCTGCCACATCACTTTCTGGCACGAATTGACGATGATGACGCCGGCGTTTTGCCAGTCTCAAGGTCACCGTCACCTACTCCTGATGCAATGGACATCGAAGAATATCTCCACAAAGGGAAGTTATCGCCGTCGGGATCAAGATCGACAGGACAAACTGAACGTGGGCTTGCAATACTCGCAATACTCGGTTGGTCAGAGGGTCAGTGGCCGTTGGGACTATTGACATGCGTTCTCGCCCTGTCGCAAGGAAAAGTCGAATTTAGTGCTCCACTTAAAAAGAAAGATCGTCTAACACATCCTCATCCTCATCCCCCCCTCCGTCATCCTCACTCCCATCTTCTTCTTCTTCAAGCTCTTCGTCACCAGATTCATCATCGCCATCTTCCTCTTCGATATCCCATTGCTCGTGGTCCTCACCATTGCGGACATCTTCATCCATAACATCCATGGCATCAGTTGGTGCTACTATGTCTCTAATTATCCTCCGCAGCGTTACCGGATGCCCAACACCAAAGTGAGTGTATCGCATGAACATATCCCGGTCAACGAATCTAACTCAAAAGGTCGAAAACTGATCATAGGAAGAGACATTATCCAAACTCACATTCCAACATAGTGCTCTTCCCAGTCGTCTTCCTCCCCCCCAGGACGTGCCAGAGATTGTCCATAGCGAAGCGAGCTGGTACCACGTTCCGAGGCGAATGCAGGAATCAAGTGGACCCCTCGAATCACCTGTCCCGGATCAAGAAACCCAAACGCGTCAGCATCTGATTCATCTACGAATGCAAGCTTCGGAAGACGCGCGTTTTTGATGCCAGATTTATGGTTGCACAATGGAGCCAGCCACCTAACCCACAGAACCTCGAGGTGTTGCTTCACCGGTCGACTTCCGTCGTTGACCCAAGTTTCCATATGGTAAATACCCAATACACGGGCATACCAGTATGGATGGGTAGGTATCGTTTCTCCTGAAACGACCATAATATCGGCGTGTGCTCTAGGATTGATAGTGTCGTGCTCGCGCCTGAGGTCGTATGTAGTGTAATATACCTGCATGGTCTGAACGGAGTAAATGATATTGTTAGGGATGATTACCGAGTTATGCTCCTTGTCCGTGAATGTATGGTTGCAATGGCTAATATCTAGCTTCTGCAGCCGGTAAAGAATATGATCCTTCAGTTTCGGCAAAAAATTCTATGAACCATTGTGAAAAAAGTGAGGCATTCCCGTTGCAATATCGTCTACCTTTATGGCCGGATCACCATTGTGTTCTTGAAGGAACTGAAATATATTGACTGGGTTACTCTTATGAGTTGCGATATGATGATGCAATCCAGAGGACGCCGAAGGGGGAGCATCGGCAGGAGATTGATTATCGGAGGATGGTGTACTTTCTGCTTCCGCGACCCGCCGAAGTACGCGGCGCCTGCGCTCGTGCTTTGCCAATTGCGCTGGAGTATCCAACTTACTTGTGAGTGGATAGAATGCCTTGAGTGCCCTGTGCGCAAGTTCCCCCTGGCCAAAATCAACTTCCGTAGACAGTGAGTAAACAACATATACATACCATTTGAGTAGTGAATGAATCCGTGGTCCCGAAGAGTCGTATTGTTCGCACATAATCGGCCATCGCATGAAACTTGTACGTATTCAGATTGAATTTCTTTGCCTTCGGTCCACTTGATTCCGGAGAGGTCGCGGCAGTATGGGTCTCAGACTGTCGAGCGAACCTTCGTTGACGGGCAGCTGTCTCTTTTGGTAACTCCGTAGTATTGAATGTATTGCAGATGTCGTGTCGAAATTTCCGCAACTTCTGAGAGAGTTTCTTGAAAGTTTCTTCCAGAGAACTCACTGTAGACTCCGAGTGCAACCTAAGCTTGGCAAGCGCATGCCACTGTGCGAACTGATACAGCAAAGTCTGCACTGCTGCATCATGGCCTGGGGGGAACAGTCCTTCAAAAACCGGTATGGCACACTAATGAAGGAGAATATGTCAGAGCCGAATTCAGGAAATCGAGTGATACAAAAACCTGTAATATGTCTTCAAAGTCCCGTGCTGCTAATTTTTTCATCTCAGAAGTATTGTTCGCGAACTTTCGAATCACACCATTGCCAAAGGTTGGCACCTGGCGAAATCTAGGGCGAGATTGAATTATTAGTGCTAGGTAATAGAACTCTGTATGAAATCTGCGTACCTGTAGTCGAGAGTAGCAACTAACTGACTACCTCCAGGAAGCGCATATAGGAGCCTGACAAGATGGGTAAATAATGCCTTCCAGGTACCCAATTCGATTTCATGCATGAAATCGACAACAAGCATACGGAACGGGTTGAGGCCGAACGGTCCAAGTTTCTGAACGAATTGATTCTGTGGGTAGCCGGTTTGAGCTGATCGCAAATTGGAAGGAGTCATTCGTGCCTACCAAAGTGGGTACCCATGAACCTTCTCCAAGAGCGTCTTCGACCTTCGAACCATTTACAGTATTTCCCCTCTGATAAATATACTCGCGAGCCTTGACAACGTTTGCCATAGCATACACACGGAGATTGATGATGCGATCTTTCATGTCCTGGACGAGACCAGTGCAACTAAATAAGTTTTTCCGAGTGAGACAGCGAGGACAAGCGCATGAACCCATGTCCTTGATAGTCGCAATTAAAACCCTGAAATTTTGTGAGGATCCGATTTTAACAAAGGCAAAGCAGAAATATACTTCTCGGGATAATCAGCAGAATACGTGAAGATACGAGGAAATACTCTTCGCAGCACTCCATCGGCACATTTCAAGACAATCCCGTGGCGATATGCATGAACAAAGTCCTCATCGAGTAAAATGTCCCAACATGCCTGGAACAACTCTCTACGACAGTGAGTATGAAGCGACACTATACCTGTTTTGGATACGCGAGATAGGCCGCTCAGAACGTCTTTAATACAGTCTGGAAGCTGGAAAGGCAGTTGATATCAATGCCAGTCGGCAGGCATCATACAGGGACTCACAGAAGGCAGGAATCCCACTAGGTGGCATGCCCCCGATTGAGGTAATGTTCGGACATACTTCGTCAAGTTTCCAAAATAGAGATAAAGCGGCCAAGCTTTTGCCGTTCCAAAATTTGCCAGGTGAGTGGCATCGGAAAAGAACATAAGACCTGCTACAACCCATTCCAAGGAACAACCGGGTTCCTTCGGCAACTTCTGAAGCTCGTCCTGAGCCTCAAGCCATACATCGGAGGTGTAAAGCTCATCGAATATTCGTTCTTGATGGTCATCTAAAGCATCCTTCCATAGACGTTTGAAGGGTAATAGGTGGAATGCGCTTGCTTGCACATCCGCGAATGCTGCGCGAATCACTTCGACGAGAGGACGATAATGAAAACTAGGGATAATATATGGAACAGGGCCTTCTTCGTTTGACCTCTTCGGAATGTTGATAGTGACATTGGTCTCGACCCAATCATCTGGGAAAGTGATTCTATCCCCGCCCTCATCCTTGTCTAATTCTCGCAGACTTTTTCTCACCGAAAATCCCTCAAGATCCTTAACATCAAATTCATCAGCTTGCAAGACGTCTTTGACGAGGCGTTGGATCTCAGCTTCTGATTTCAGGTGGCTACCTGAATTCATCCAGGACATGAGCCGATAAACGGTCATATTGGAAAAGGGGTATGGTGGCGGAAAGACGTTTGCAAGGGAATCCGTTCCTTGAATAGTTGTTGGACACGACCGTGCAAGTAACAAGGTGTCATATCCCATATATTCACGCTTCTCTTCCGGACTTCGGACCCTGAGATCCGGTCCGGTCCGATGTATAGATCCGCTTCCGATCCGATTTACGATAAGCTTTCTAATTCATTTCCTGTTTCATATAACGTTAAACACAGCCTATTCGGTATTTCCTCTTCCCGGTGTTTCGGTTATGCTTATTACCGGT